TTTATCATGACATTATGGAAAATAATGAACTTTATCACAATATTCTAATTTTATGACCAGCACCTGTATAGTCTGGAAAATATGGTATTTATAAACAGTTATTGGGACCATAGTTGGTGTATGCTTTTTTTCCCACTGCTGAGAAAAAGTTGCATGTATTTATCTGCTTGATGTGTGATGACTCAATATTTTTCATTCAGCTTGCTTAATATTATTTAACCAAATTAAAATAAATGCTATTAAATATGTCACAACATTATTTAAAAACTAACGGGTAAAAATGGATCATAAAAGGAATTCATTGACCCCTTCAATGAAAATAGCAGACACTGTGAAAGTCTAAACGGACCTCTAAAAAATCTGGATGATGACTCTTTACAGTCTCACCCTTGCAGCCAATGCACCAATAAACAGCTGACTTCAGCCCTGATTGGAAGCACAGCTCTGAGGATTCCAGCGAGCCAGATGGGACCAGGTTGGAAGTGCTAATGCAAAAAACGCAAAAGCCGGGATTGAAACATGGCTGGCTCAGTGTCCAGCCCTGCAGAGTATAAGGGACTTTAGTTGCTCAAGACGACATAAATGAGAGATTCCTCACCAGCTGGTAATTTGGTCAAGGCTGATGTTCATCTCTTCCAACTCTCTGAATCCTGGGACTTCTACAATGAACACATGTCCACCTTCTGTTCCCAACAATAGCAGCTCCCCTGAGGAGTGAGTCAGCACTGCAGTCACTCTGGTCACACTGGGGGGGGCCCTGGCATACACACAAACAAGAAAGTTACAAGAAGGTCAGCCTTCAGCTCCATCCCTCTGAAAGGGAGCAACGTTGATCGCTGCTCCAGCCAGGTGAGAACCACCTGAGCAGCTCAGGATGGGATGGAGTAAGAGTGAAGAGCTGGTTTGCATCAGTATGTCTGTGTACCCAGGTGGTCCGGTCAGCAGGAAACGGCCTATCTCAAGCAGCTCTGAAAGTCCTTTGTGGCTTCGTAAAGTCCACATGTGCAGACTGTTGTCATCCAGCAGAGTCACCAGCTCCACCTGTACCAACACAACAAAGGTTGGAGGTAGTGTGTGACTGCTGTGAGCTCTGCCTGTCATTTTTCCTTACTGTACCTGATGAGGCATGAAGAACACCTGTGTGACAGCAGCATTTTCATCATGGAGACCCATGAACTCCACTCCAGGAGCACCGTACCTGCGCTCCAGTTAAGGACAGTCTGAATTTACAAGATATGCACTCAATAAGTTTTATTCATGGGACTTAGAAATGCATTAATTTGGAGTTATTTTTGACCGATTACAAAAGGTAAGAAAATCTAATACAGTATAGGAAATATTTTTAGGAAGCTGTGACTAAGCCTAGCTGTTGTACACAAGCTTAAAGGAAGTGCTCTTCAAGCTGGTTTCTTTGTCAGCATATCTTTTCGACAGAATATCTGAGAAGTATACATTTTGCACACAGGTTACTGCATGGAGTTACTCAGGCAGTTGAGTGGTCTTGGATCAGCTGAAAAAATGTCAAAGGAAGTGTCTGAAATGATTATTTGGAGTTAATTCTGGATCAGTGTTGGAGTAATTTGATGTCTTATACTGTAATGCACTTATCTGTCTGAGGGATCTCAAACTGTCCACAAACTGGATAAAATTTCTAATAAATTTCTTTTTTTTTTTTTTCTTGGTCAAACATGTATAAGATATAAAAAGCACAAGTTGCAGATCTATTGCAAGTTACAGTTTTAGCTTTTATTTGTATTTTAACATCCATTAATCATGTGGCACTGTCAGTTTGATGTCTCATAGAAATATCTATTTTTATCATCTTTTGTTCATTCATTTTGCAAATTCTGTGGGCAAAGCCACTGAGGCAATAAGTAAATACAGATCTGACCTTATATTTACTGCAACTGTTGGTCTGTAAGCAGTCACTGGCCAGTGTATATGTGGTTTGATAAATCAGACATTTCTAAGTTTTGCTTTAAGGTTCTATGGCTCAAGTAGCCTTTCTTTACTAGTATGTGGACAGGCAGAAGGGCAGAAAGAAGAGGGAAAGACAAGCAGAAAATGCCACTTGGCCAGAAATCGCACCAGGAACAACTGCACTTAGGCCTGTAGCTTCTATACATGGTTAACTCATTCTACCACTGAGCTAGCTTGTGCTCATGTAAATTGTCCTTTATTAGTTTTAGTGTGCAAGTTTGCACTACATGTTGATAAATGAGGGCCAGTGAGCGGAGCTGCAACACATAGTTCAGTCTTAGCACCATGTCCTTCCCATTAAAGAAGCATCAGAGTTTCTGAGAGGGATACAGCTTGATGGCTCCAGAGCGAGTTCCAATGGCCATGAGCTGAAGAGAAGAACTGTATCCCAGAGCGCTGGGCTGATGGGGGAATCCATGTTCCACAGTCTGCACAGGACAGCAAACAGACAGACAGACTTAGTTTATTGTTACGCAAATGTATATTTAAATGTACATATTGAATGAAATTTTGTTGCAAGTCTCCAATAATATTAAAATAAATAAGTAATATTAAAAAGTATCAATATAAATATATAGAATAAAAAGATTAATGGGAGTTTAGTTGTCTGCCCAGTGGCCCCATGGCCCCGCAGTGCATGTCTGGTACTGTATTGAATGAAAGGTTGCACGTTATTTGGAGGCTTTTAGTTTTGTTACATTAGCATAGGAAGGCTAATGTAACAAAACTAAAACCTATGAGGTAACGTGACTAAAATCAGGAATTATTTGATAGATCGATTCTTGTGACCATTTTCACTCCATCACTCATAAAACAGTGAAAGTGAAGGTTACACTTTCACTGCATTGTAAAGTCACTTACTGTTAGTAGGGGATTAGACATTAGTAATGCCTGGAATATTCTCACACATGCAAACTTAATGAGCTGATGCATTAAGGAACTGAATTAAGACTTTCCACATCTGGAAAGCTATCATATCATCTGTTCTTTGAACATTTACTCTTCATTTCAACTCATCAACACATGCAAGTTAACCCTCTGAAAAATATGATGATATTTCCTTCACCTCCACCACTGGTAATGAGATCAGTGGTGAAAAGAGTGAACTTGCCTTGGTGAACTGAAAGAGCTCCTGTTTGAGGCGATCCCGCTGGGACTCTGTTCCATGTCGCCTGAACCTTTTCATGGTGCCTCAGCAGCAGCCTGGAGCTTGCAGCACCAAAGATGAACTCTATGAGGAATGAAATGGAAAAAAATAAAGATGTTTACATATGTATACATGTATGTGAAGCTAAAACGGTCACTTGAGTTCTGGGTAGAATTGATTTACAGACAATTTTTTATTTATTTATTTTTTTAATGTAAAGCTTTGGCTTAGTTAGTTCTCTGAATATGATCTTTCAGCGTTTGAGTCTGTATACCAAATTACTGTTACTAAATGAGTTAATTATTCTAATAATCAATACATGATTATTAACCAAATTAATCATTTCATCCATAAATGACATCATCTTGCGTTTGACATGAAAACGTGTCCAAATATGTTTCTAGTTCATGTAGTTTGGATTTTAGGGTTAGGGAAAGAAGTCAGAGTGAGCCTGGAAAAAAACCAGACCCGTGTTTTATGCTTTGCTTAGTCCACAGAGTCTGGGCCCTCGGCTCTTGAAAGGCGGGGACTGTGTTCAAGTTTTAAATTTTACCTAACATTTATCTGTGACGTGATGTACCAGCTTAACACCAAGAAGCTTACTGAAAATTGACCATGCTGTAAACAACCATCCTCCACTGTGAAGAGAGAAGTGCTAATCCAAATGTGGCGCCTCTGAATTTTAATTCAATATTTGGAAGCGTGACCAACACGCAGTGAACAGCTGCTTCCTCTGCTGTCATTGCTAATATTACAGCCAGAAAACAATTCTAAAACAGAACAGATAATTTACGTCATCGGTCACTACTTCTCCTTCTGTTTGCTGAGTAGCCCAGTTAAAAAAAAATCAACCTGAGACAATCCAAGTGAATGTGTCAAACCTCAAACTTGCTGGAAACAAGGTTTTATTTAAGCAGAGATGCACAGGAAAGCATTGGCCAGGCCAAGTGTGAGAAAACAAAATCCAAGAATCCAAGGACAACAAAAGGATAAACTGGTAGACTAAGGTGAGAATGCTACCTGCAGCCAGATCCTTCACTCAGAGGTCAAAGGTCAACACACAGAAGACTGGACACACTCCATTTGTTGGGTATGGTTCCTGTCACAATAGAAATACTGATTTGAATGCTTAAAGTGGAAACAAGTCAGGGTTGCACCAATAAACATCAGCTCAACTTGCTGTAGCGCAGAGGCTCCCAAACTGTGGGGCGTGGATGGAAAAAAACAAAAAAAACATGATCGTTGTATGCGCTGGGTTTTTACCTTAGAATGGCCAACTCTCTGTTATTCCTATGTCAATTTGATACAGTAGAGGCTTTCACACTTCCCATATTTGTGTCCTCTGTCACTTTTATCAGCAGTTAATACGGTT